CTCATGCCGTTCGTGGCAGACCCTCATCACCCCCAACCTCGCCGTCGCCTTCAACATACCCGTCGCCGGCGCCCCCGGCGGCCAACCGAGAACCCCCGGACCTCCCCCCTCCCACCCACCCCCCGGCCCCCCGGCCCGCCTTCCCCCACCCCCCCGACTCCCTCCGATCTCGAACCCTCCGACCTCAACTCCGACTCCGCTGCCGCTCCCGGGGGCGACGAGCCGGCGCGGACCCTCAAGCGGCCCCGCCTCGTCTGGACTCCGCAGCTTCACAAGCGGTTCGTCGACGCCGTCGCACACCTCGGGATCAAGAACGCCGTCCCCAAGACCATAATGCAGCTGATGAGCGTCGACGGCCTCACCCGCGAGAACGTCGCCAGCCACCTCCAGAAGTACCGCCTCTACCTCAAGCGCATGCAGGGCCTTGCAACCTCCGGCGGTGGCGCCGGCAGTGGGCCGATCTCCGCCGCCGACGCCGCCACCGACCAGCTCTTTGCGAGCGCCCCGGTGCCCCACCATTTCCTCAGCCGCGGGCCCGTCGCGGGCCCCGAGCCCTTCCCGCCGTACGTGCCGATGCCCGCCCTGCAGCACCACCAGCAGATCGCGGCCGCCATGCAGCAGCAGCAGTACTACCATCAGAGGCATCTTGGGCATTTTGGATCGCCAACCGGGGGCAGAGGTTTTGACCAAGGGTTCCTAAATCGGGCGGTGCCCCAGTCGGGGATGCATCAGATGCTAGCACCGGCACCGGGGATGGGGTTGATGCAATTGTCGTCCCCACGAGCAGCGTCGTTCGTTGATGATTCGGAGCCTGCCGGAAGGGAAGGCAGTGGTGAGAGGAAGGTGCTAACGCTTTTCCCGACCGGTGAGGACTGATACGGCTCTTCTCTCATTCCCATATCTGCTCTAATTATTATCATGTGTAGTGAATCTCTATCGGAAAACTATTATCCTCTATATCCATTGCCGCCATCGTCGTGTTGTCCTCATGTGTCCTTGCTAGGTCTGAGTAGTTATATTTGAAGCAGAGGAAGCTAGGAAAACAATTAATGTGGTCATTATTACATTTGAATTAGAGGCAATTAAGTCACCAGAGTTCTAAATTTGAGCTCTCGTAGTTTTTATTTTCATTCAATCTCACTTTAGCAACCAATGATGTTTGCTTCTGCAACTTTGGATTTTGCTTACTCTGGATGCCTTGGTTTAAGTTGGATTTAGGTCTTGGGGGTATTACTGATGGATGATAGCTTTATGTTCTGAACAATTAACGGGAGCTGGGGAAGGAATGAATTAGGAGATGAATAATTCTAGGTTTTTCTTGTTGCTTTTGTGTGCTTTTGTTCATAATCCTCTGCTTCTGCTAATGGGGCCTTATTGCTAAGAGATTTCTTATTCTTATTTTCCCTCTCTAGTATGAGTCCGTAGGTGAATTTTCATTGATGTAGTTGTATGTCAAGAAGAGCAACTTTGATGGTGGGTTAGTCATTGCTGTATATCACCTGACTTCAAAATTCTATTGTATGTATCTGTGCTATATGTTGAGAATCTTTCTTAACACTCTGATTATCATCTAAATATTCGGAATATATTGCTGTAGTATGAAAATCCAACTGCATGTGGAATATTCATGAATTTGCCAGCCAATTCCATATACTTTCATTGAGTTGTCTCTCTGAATTTTAATGAAATGGTTTTATGTTTCAGTTAAACATCAATATTCTCTTTTCATTTATGTTGGAGGGATATATGTATGGTGCATTTTCTGCATTTCTTTCCTGGAGATTTTGCTGATTTTTTGTTCTGATAGTGTTTTCGGTAATGTATAACTGGAAGTTCGACACTAGAGTTATTGATTCTGAGGAGAAAAGATTATTGTAAATTTTTCAGATAGATCAATTGACAGTTCTAAGTTCTAACTCCTGGACATTGGTAAAGCCTATTGTACATGTATGGAGTCAAAACAACATCACTAAATTTAGGATGGTTTTCTTGTCAGTCATGAGACTTCTGCCAAAACTCTTGTATCATTAGTGCAATGCTAACAACATGAGGACCAGACCATCCTTAAGGGCAAGGACTGGGAAGAAATGGCTGGGAGCACATCTGGACAAGACAAATGGCAACAAATAGCTAACTAGGATTAGATATCTGAATAAAAGCCAAGTTATTGGTGAAGAATAGTGAGAAAAGGGTAGCAACTGAGCTTGTTATTTTTTGTTGTTATGTAATCAGAAAATATAAACATGATCACTCTTTACTGAAGCAAGATCTATTGTTTTGTAATGATCGTGGAAGGTTAAAGGTTGTGGTTATTGATTTTAACCATCAAATGAAGCAAATGCTTTAGAGTATCAAGTGACATCAGATAAGTTTGGCAACAATAGTCTGTAACAGGACATAAGGATGATAAAATTGCTGCTTGTAAACATGTTCATGTTTTTGCTTGTAAAGTGGTGCATCATGCAGTTTTGCTGAAAAATTTTGAGTGTTGAGATGATAAATATAAGGACAAAGAGAGGTGCACATGTAGAGCAGATGGATTAGAAAGCCAGAAACTTCTGGCACTCCTGAGGATTCAAAGATTCTAGGCATCCTGATGTGTGTTGTAGGTGAATCAAATTGCTTGGGGAACATGAAGAAGAGGAGGAAGAGTCAACGAGGGTTGATATATATAGTAAATGATGTGTCAAGCTCTCAAGAATTGTTCTTTGGTGGTTCTTATTTCAGGTCCTCTATTGTGGTTTTCGAAATCACATTATCATGGTAGCCATGGCCAAGCCTTTCTTGATCAATGTGGTTTATTGGTGTCTAAAACTAAAAGTTTCCTGCCAAAAGTAGATTTCTCTAGTTCTTTTTGTTTTGAGTTAATTTGTGATTTCACCTAATTTAGTGTTAAACATTTTATGTCAGAATTGAGATTTCAAATAGAGTCTAGAAATCATATTGTGAGACACTAGAAAGAAGGCATAAAAAATAGGACTAATTACATATTACTTTCTATACTTGGATCTTATTAGCATCGTGATCTCTGTACTTAAAAAATTTATATTGAAATTTCTATAATTGTAAAAACAAAACAAATAACCTCATTTGTCATAATGTCATCAGTTGTATTGACGGAAAACATAACACGTGACATTACATGCTAGATCGACACGAAAGTGATAGGCAAAAAGATCATTTCAATATCCCTTTCGTTTTCAGCACGTGAGATGTTGAAATTATCTTTTTGCTAGTAAAATCGTTAAAAACGAAAGGGATGTTGAAATTACCTTTTTTCTTCATCCCTTTCACACCGACCCAACATATGGTGTCACATATTATGTTTTCCGTTAATGTAACTGATAACGTCAGGATAAATGGAGTCATTGATATGAGCACCATCTACCTTCCATTCCATGTCTCCAACAACTTACTTTAAATATGAACTAGTAGATCTTTATTGAACCCAAACAAAAGTAGGATGGGATCTTGATCCAAAAAAATATCTACAAATTTCCTTTCTTGTCTTCAAAAGATTGGGATAAAGCACATGATGCACAACACCAGGTGTGGTTGTGCATTTCAACCATATTTTCTAAGTGACAAATGAATCCAGGATTTTGTGTGCTGAATGCTTCACATATTGAAGTGGTTTAAAGTTCATTGGAGATTAAAAATTAGCAAAGAACCTGCTCATTCTTTCTCCAACATCTTACATCAGAGCCCATGTTTATGGATTGAAGTTCCAAACTGAACATGGTCACCGAATAGGGACCTAACAATGTTTGTACAGGCACATGGTATCCATGGCCTTGGTTTGTGGATGCCTGGTGACATTTCAAACATGCCTTTTCATTTATCAGGTGTCCGTCTGGTTTTGCTGGGAAGGTATTGCTCAAATTATGATTCGTCTTGCATGGTTCCACTGAAATTTTAGGACTTCTAAGTTTGTCATCTGAATTGAATTGTGTCAAGTACATGTGTTCTTGAGAAGTTACAGCATTTGCCTGACCATGGCTAATCTTAGGACTTCCTAGAGGGCTTCAGAGGATTGAATGACAGAGCGTCTCACCGAACGAGTTTCTCATCTTTATATAGTTGTCTGAAGTCAGATCTGTAAACTATGGTTGATATCTTTTTCGCCCATAATATGTTGCAATCTAGATTGTTATGGCTGCAAGCACAGTTAAATGGATCCCATGAACTTTATTTGCTGACTAATTCTGTATTTGGCACATACTAGAGAAAGTAAGCACGGAATCTTTTATATTCCTAGTCTTTTTAACATGCTTTTGTATAAGGTGGAATCCTGTAGCCATTAGTAAAATGACATGGTCATTGAAGATAGAACCGTCTCAATAGGGAAATTGGCACAAAATTGTTTCCTCTTGATGTCTAAGAAGTCCTTTGGTTGGGTAATTACTGGTTTATGCAACTAATCCTCGGAAGTTGTTTGCAGTCTTCCTGAATGTGATCATATAAGAACCAGTTTCTGATTTATTAATGAGATGTTCATTGGTTAAGTAATTGCTGATAACTGTGTTTTTGTGTCGCCATGGTCTACAAGACATTTCCCTTATGATAAGGTGATGACTAACGAGGGTTATTTCATATAGGCGAGTGCTTTTCATGCCTAGCTTCTGTTATTCTGAACAAAAGTTCAGTGTCTTCTATGCACTTTCAGTTTGATCATTACCTGTGAGACTTTTTTCGGTGGGTCATTATGTAAATGCTTAAGCAGATGCAGTGTTTGGAGTTCAAATAAGCTGTGGCATGTTTTCCCCAAGTGTATGGTGCTTGTACAAGTCGTTGATTGTGAGCTTTGCATGAAAATATGCCGCAGCTCTGAGGTATACTGCTAGCCAGAATCCATTTCAGAGGTGTACATTGTAAGTCACATCATTCAGGCACTTAATGCTCTTCATTACTTATTCCAAGCTTGGGATTTGTTGATTGTAGTTTTCTTTTGAAGGTATGATTAGATTTACCCAGTAGCTTTATTTATGATATCAAACTATAACTGAGAATTCAGAACATTATTAGGCTATATTAGAATTGAGAACATTTCTGATATGAAGGTTTGGAGTTTCTAATAAATGAAATGCCACTCTTGAGTCTCTTTCAATGGATAGTGGTAGATCTTGAGGCTCTAATTAATTGTTTGTAGATATTATCTTGGTAAAATAATAATTGCATAATAGTATAAGAAATATTTATTAGCAGAATATTTAATTGGGATAGCAATTTTTAGTTAATTTCTAATTTAAGTAGTTGCTTGGTTTACTGTGGATTAATAAGATGTGAAATACAAAATTCACTTAATCCATCCTCCTTGCCATATTGTATTTCTGCACTTAAATTTTGTCCCGGTTAAACATTTTAGTACACTTGCAACATAGTTGGGCTGAATCACCTTGGAAGGATTTCATGGGTGATATGGTATCTCAAGACGAGTAACAAAGAGAGGTGACTCCATGTGGATAATTTCAAAGGTGATTCGATCATTTCGAATGAATCTTCGTGTCAAACTTTTCTCAATATCTCTATAAGTCAAAATCTTTTTCTTTTTAATTTTATATCATCTAAATATGAGTCTCCAAAATCTTTTTTTTTTAATTTTGTATTATTTAAATGTGAGACAATTTCAAGGGTGACTTAAGAGTTTCATGGGTGATATGATATCTCAAGAGGATTATATAACATAGAGAAACGTAGAAGTGATTCCATGTGGACAATTTCAAGGATGATTCGGTCATTCGGAATAAATATTCGTATCAAACTTCCCTTAATAATTTTCTCGAATCGTGAGCCAAAAATTTTTCTTTTTAATTTTATATCATCTAAATATGAGTCTCCAAACCATTTTGTTAATGTAAGTTTTAGCTATGAATTGAATTAAATGTTCAAATAAAATAATGGATCAACCAATTAGCCTTATAACTTATCTTGAGGATTCCAATATTCTTATTCATCTTAAATTTTCAAAAATATGAATTAGCTTAGCCGATATTCTAAAAATTAAGTTAACTAATACCATCAACTTTATGTTACAAAATATAAAAATATAAAGCCCTCATAATATTCTCATCGCCATAAATATTTAGCTTATAATATTATTAAAGGATGTTTTAAATAAAATTTAAATATCTTCACTTTAAACCTAATTTTCATAGTGATAAATAGGTTAATTACTAATTTTGTAGGTATATGTGCGCGCCTGTATATGAATCCCTTTCATCCAAGAAGTGGGATAAGGTTCCATCAACACGACCACATCTTGTTTCCATGGCTGTCGCCAAGATTCCGTCCCTCCTTCTGTTCTTTCCCATCCAAAACCCTAACCTTAAGCCCTACCGCAGGCTTCTCCCTCTCGATCTCTCGTCCCGTTCTACGAGAAGCCTAGAGGTGCAATGCGCGAAGCGGGCAGGGAAGCAGCGATACCCCTCGGAGAAAAAGAAGCTACAGAGGATCACCCGAACCCTCCGCGAATCCGACGTCAAGAACCGGGAGGACGGCTTCTGGAGGCTCTCTATGCTCGGCGTGCCCGCGCACAAAGACCCCGGGAAGGACTTCACCGGCGTCTCCCTCCCGCTTCTTGAGGCCATTGCCAAAGTCCTCAAGTTCCCGGTAATTCATTTCCCATCGGTCTCTATCCTTGTGAGATTCCTAAGCTTGATTCTTCCTACGACGGAGAAATGATGGTGTGTAGGGTTGAGGGGCTTTGATTAAGAAACCGGCTTGTTGATTTTGCTTGCAAGTTATGTGGTGCGGTTTAGGAGACGCTTAACTGAACGACTTAATCTAAGTGTAGATTGTTTCTTTTCTTTTCTTTTGCTCAAGTAGAAGATGTACCAAAAGTGAAAGGGGTAACCAACTTTTAGCTGTTTGAGTCCAATGGATTAGGAAGATACTCCATCTTAATTACTAAGCTAGTTATTTCAGTATCAAGTTATTTGTGTCTTTCTCTTTGATTCTCTTATCCCTTGTCGTTCTCTCTTTTCTTCTTTGTTTACCTTTGTTATGTTGCTTCTTTCTATGTTGTTTCTCCTTTGTTCTGTTGTTTTAATTTGTCTTATGGGATGCCCCAAAGTGTTTAGTTTTGGCTTCAAATGGCAATATATCATCAAGCTTAGTATAAAAGCAAGGAGATCCATTCAAGAAACAAAAACTAAAGCAAGAATTGGCAAGCTTAGTTGTCCTCTCTTTAATTGGCGATATGGTCAACTTGAAAAAAGATTAGAAACCCAGGATGTGAAAGAGCTGAGGATGATATTTAGAAAAGTCCAATAACAAAATGTTTGAAGTAGAAGTTGTAGGCCAAGAAAAAAGTGATGTAGGAACTTCCTACTTATTAATATTTAATGTGAAAATATATTGCTTTTCCAAGGCAAACCTATTATGTCTATCTTGCTATCCTAATTGTTTGCCCAATATGTCTCTCGCTTCTCCTTCCTTTTGTTTCTTTCTTGCCATCCAAGTTCATCCACTGTTGTTCTTTACATTGTTTTATCAATATCCAGCTCAAAGTGGTCACTCCGTTAATATACTTGTCTGTTTCTCTCATTTTCTTCCTTAAGAATCGTTTATATTTGTGTCTCTTAGTACTAGTTTCTTCTATTTTCTTCATACGCGGTTTAAAATTTCTTAGTCTTGTTTACTTAATTGAGTTATCGAAATGGTGAACTGACATCTCTGGTTGCAGGTTGCTGCAATGTTACCTCAAGAAGCCTTTTCTGTTGTCAGGAAATCCTTTGATGCAAGAAAGGTTAGTTTCAAAAGTAAAAATGTGTTTCATGACATTTTTGGGTGTTAAAATCCTTCTTTTAAACCCTTCTTTAATTGGTGTTGCATGTTATGTATGAGAGCTATCGATGACTTGGGGAATGTTTCAAGTCTAGGCTTGTTTAATGGTATATGCTATCTATCTTAGCATTCTTCACAATGGGAGTAATTAGAAAATCCTATCACAGAAGCAATTGTTATTCAAGCTTTTGTCTACCTAGTTTGTATGTGAGCAATCTCAATGTTTGTTTGCAGAGTTGTATATTGTACATATATGTACATGCTTTACGACCATTTTTGTTCCTATATGGCGACCATGCAGAAATTATAATCCTTATTTTAATGGATTTTTAGCATTCATTAATGACTGTACAGAAGAACTTTTAGTTGCATAGTCCCTTGATATATATTTTTGAAGAAAATTGAATTTTCTCCTTGCCAGTATTCTGACATTGGAAGGCCCTTAGCATAAGTCTTATGGTTTGTTGAGACTGGATAAGTATTTGTATTGCCTAAGCTTCTGTGCATAATAGTCATCTTGGCAACTGTCATTTCTTGCTAGCCGAAATGCTTTCTTTAACTTATCATCGTGGAACTTTAACATGTGAATATAATTCCAGTTTCCTCATGAGATCTGATCTAGTACTTTGGCAGTTTTCCAAATTTCATTATCCTTATCTGATCGTTGGATGAACAAATTCTTAAGTATTCCTGATTTATTTAGATTTTCTCCAATACATATCTAACCTATTGTGGATGTTCCATTAATTATTTATAAAGGGAGCTTTCAGAATCTGAGACAGGGAATCTGAAACAAGTTCTTGATCTATCATTAGGCTGACGAATGCAAGTAAGCACATTTTCTTAGCATGTTTTTCAAGTAACACACCTAGGTAAAATGTGGATCTAACATCACAGTTCACATATATTGTTTTTAGTTATGTAGTCTTAGATACTCAAAGTTAGATTAGTGATCGAAGGGGTGAACTATTTAACATGACCGCATTTCGAATGGATGACTTTTTTAAATGCTATGAAAAAATCAATAATAAGAACTTTTCTTCCAAGTGGATTTTTGTTGTCAATATTGAAACATGTATTCAGTTTAAGTATATGACCAAGGAATGCAACTCTTGGCATCCTGTGAGATCCGACTAAATTCATTAGATATCTAGTAAGACATATGATACTTATCTTCTTTTATGTTGTGTGTTGTTCTGTGCTAACTGTCTATCTTAAGGAGACACCTGTTTTCTTAATGTTTCTTTCTGCTACTGAATTCAAACTAAAATTACTAGCAGTTTAGTAGAACATCAGGTACTTTATCTTCTTTTATGTTATTTGGTGCTAATTGTTTTCTTGAGTAGGTTACTGTTCTCAAATGTTTCTGCAGGTGCTGAAGGAAGCTGAGTTTGTGTACACAGTGGACATGGACATTAAGAAACTTTTGAATCTGGAGCCTCGTACATGGGACTTTGTTGCTAGATTAGAACCTAAACTTGGGGTTGTAGAATATATGTCAACAGCAAAACAGCCTAGTGATTTGGTCAGCATTTTGCATGATTCAAGACAAGTCCAGGATGAAGTTGTCCAAGAAGATATGTTTGAAACTCAGAACAAAAGCTTGAACAAGGTTCTGCCTAAGAGACCAAAAATTGCAGTTATTGGCAGTGGACCATCGGGCTTATTTGCTTCTCTTGTTCTTGGGGAGCTTGGTGCTGAAGTGACTTTGATAGAAAGGGGTCAACCAGTTGAGAAAAGAGGGCGTGATATTGGCGCTTTGGTTGTGAGGAGGGTTCTACAATCAGAAAGTAACTTTTGTTTTGGAGAGGTATTCCCTAGTTAATTGCTTCTTGTTTGCTTATCTTGGACATTGAAGACCTTACACTTACTGGTAAAACTGTGATGTGTTCGTGCCACTTGATGGCTACATGGGACTTGGCTATCTCTGGCGGTGAGCTTCGATGTCTCTCAGCACTGATGAAACTTGTTGCACAGAGTAGTAGTTGCATGGAATGGAGGACCAGAGGTTTGTCATCATGTTATAAAAGATGGTAGCTTTAATCATCTGATAAGACCTGCTTCTATGAATTGTCACCCCTGAGGACTGTCAAGATAATAGGTGCATGTAGTCAGACCACAATGTAGACTAGGTAATAGGTGCCATAGAATATCATGAAACATCATTAAAATATAAATTTACTCAATGAGACAAGACCAGGATAATGGATGATTAAGCAACTTAACATAAAGTTGAGTAGACAATCACTTGTTAACTAAGGTTTTGTCAGTAGAGAGAGCTGGGGGCATCTTAACTAGTTCACAAGCCAACTTTTATGAGATATTAGATGTGATGATATACAACGTATTGAATGATGCATCATGCAAAAAACTAGATAGGAAATTGTCCGACATGTAAGTGCACATTCAATTTTATTCTTTCTCTTTAATGCAGGTTAGTTGATCAGTGATGTATCTTGCACTGCTTGTCGTACTCACACTTTAATTTATTTATTGAGTTTCATATTGAAGTTTAGCTTTTCAATCAATTGTTGAAGAAAAATGATGACTAATGTTGCAATCTGTCCCTATTCATGATTTTATTTAAACAGATATGTCAAGCACAACTGCTAGGTTTTCTAATATGAATATAGGAACTTGTCTTATTTAAGTCTAATATGAATCACTCAAGAGTTGGTTTTAAAAGGTTGGATTTTCTTTTATATGGGCACTTCTGTATTCTATATTTTTATTAAAATTTTGGAGGCTGGCTAAGTTAGTGAAAGGTGTATCATGATGAACATGTTTTGTACAAGTTAAAGTTGAAGAAATTAGCTGGACAGGGAGTAGACTCAGATACCATTGAATTTTGTACAAAAGTGAAGGTTATGTTCTTTCTCCATAAATTATTGCATCAGCCTACGGTCAAGGCATGGATGTGCTTGAATTTCAGGAATGGTCTAATTTTGGAATCTCTAAAGTAGAAAATTATAACAAAAGTGTGTTTAAGGGGTCCATAAACTCTAGGCTGATCAATTTAAGATGAAAAGTCCAATTTGGGGTTGAAACTACTGGAAATCAGGTCTAGATAACTGTTGGAATACCCTGGAGACAAAACAGACTTAAATGGGAGCATCAAGGATGTTTCATTGGGACTTAATGCATACTTACTAGATTTAATCAATTCACAACAGTAATTATGATGGAAATTTATGGCTGGAGAAGCAAAGCAGAGAACCATAGGTAAAGGAAGAAAGTGGTACCAAGACTGAGTCTGGTCAAATCATACACATGTCAGCATCTTAAGTCACCAAAGAATATCTTCACAAATTGTTTGAAGCTTATTAATGTATGTTGCAAAATGATTAAACTTGATAACTGATTAGATGTTATATGCTTGAAACCAAGGTAGGCAATACCGAATGATATCGCCCGGTACGGGCAGTACGTACTGGTCCGATAGCATACCAGTACGCGGATCGCCCGCTATCGGGCGGAACGAAAAAAAATATATTTATATTTATATATAAATATTTTAGAAAAAGGTGACGTCGTCGAGGCGACGCGACGTTGCCAAGGCGATGCGACATCGCCTTTTAAATTATATATATATATATATATATATATATATATATATATATATATATATATATATATATATATATATATATATATATATATGTGTGTGTGTGTGTGTGTGTGTGTGTGTGTGTGTGTGTGTGTGTGTATAATATATACCGAGCGGTATACCGAATGGTATATCGCTCGGTATACAGTTTCGTACTGTACCGAGCGAACGTTGAAACTCCGGCACGGTACGAAATTGCAGACCTTGCTTGAAACACTGACTTTTCTTATACCATGGGATATGCATGCCAAAAGAATTAGGAATCATGAATGATTTTCAACTTTTTCTCTTTTCAAATACTAAATAATATTATCAATTAAACTAATGTGATGTAATTTAGTTTTATCTTTTATAAAAAATTGGATAGCATATTTGAGTTTTTAAGGTTCTTTTATTTTCCTACTGAGAGGCGCTAAGATTTCCTTGATATTTTTCTTGATCTGCTCAATTTTTTCAAGACACTAACTGTTGTGTGTTCTTAAGTTAAATTTGCATAGATGGTGAACAATTCTTGAACTTTTTTCTTCATATTTCCTTGGTGGACGCATGCTTATTCTTACAGCATCTAAACCTACTGGTAAAGCTAGTTCAAGATTTTGGTCAAACAAATGACAAAGTACTTAGCCACAGCAGGGTGGTGCAGGTACATGGAGTGATGGGAAGCTTGTTACAAGAATCGGAAAGAATAGCAATGGTGTCCAAGCTGTGAGAATCGGAATCTTGTTCTGGTCCTTTTTTTCATTTGTTTATGTTTTTAAGAAAGACAATTTCCATACTTTTCTTTTCATGTAAGTCTCTATCCTTCAGCTATATAGACTAGCGCTTTTGTCGTTATAAAGGAATATCTTTCTTTCTTTCTTTTAAATGTGTTTCTTAGGTGTGAACAGCCACCACTTGTCACTCCTAGTTATTACGATATATATGTTTATGTACCAGGATATCTGGATTCTGATATATTCATCAACTGACTTCTTACTATATTTTAAGCTCATTAATTGCTGGAAATGAGCAAGTCATTCTTACTGTCAGATCCCAGCCCGATATACCTATTCACCCAATAACTTGGAAAACCTAGAACTACATAGCTGACAAATGCTTAAGACCAATTTATTAGGGTGTCACATTTACAAGCTCAGCTCCTGCCTTGGATAGTCATCGTTGTACTGTTAGTTTATCAACCATACAACTTAAGCCTTTGGCTTACATTTCTTTATTCTTTCAGGTAATGAAGACTTTAGTTCAGTTTGGAGCCCCTGCAAATATCTTGGTCGATGGGAAGCCTCATTTGGGAACTGATAGATTAGTTCCATTGTTACGCAACTTTCGCCAGCATCTCAAAGGGTTGGGTGTATGTGACATCACTTGCGGCTTGATTACCCAGTTGTCTATAATTCTCAGTTTGACGAGGCCTGGTATCTTTCAGTGACATTATTTTTGTAAGCAGGTTGATATAAAGTTCAGCACTAGATTGAATGATCTTATCGTGGAAAACAGGCAAGTGGTGGGAGTCCAAGTTTCTGATGCATCACATAGTCCTGATTTTGACAATCAAGAATTATTGTGTGATGGAGTTGTTCTGGCAGTGGGTCACTCAGCACGCGATGTATACCAGATGCTGCTTCAGCATGATGTAGAGTTGGTCCCCAAAGATTTTGCTGTAAGTTTGTTATATTATTTTTAATTCTGTTTTTTAGACTGATCTGCTTATCTGCCAATCAAAATTGCAATATACTTATTTGAAGAATGTCACAGAATGTTAGCTTTTGTTGTATGCATGGATATATGTTGATTAATTTACAATTTTTTCCATGAAAAGTTTATTTCCTCATGTTATTTGTACCAATTGAATCACTAGTTAATTCATTTTTCTCATCTTGTTGACTTGGTAATTTTTTTTGGTTCACCTTATAAAACTTGTTGTATATGTCTAGTTCTTGCAGTTTGCTTGCAGTTTGGGGAATTTGTAGAATTAATCATTCTTGAGTAGGTAATCTGTTTATTTCCAAAATCTCCACCCTGTTACCTATCTCTTCCACATCTGGATTATCTATCATTGATGCCTGCTAGTTCAACTGGAATATTTCTTCATTTTCTTGGTTTTGTAGCCTAGAAGCAACTTCCCTTGCTTTTCATTGACAAAAAAACTGTTTGCTTTGGCTTGTACTTGTTAGATATAATTTTAGTTTTATATCACATTTGTACAGTGTTACTTTTCCACATTGAATGACATATACAAGATCAATGGTGCTTCAAACTGCAAACACCTTATTGATGGATGTGATTCCATCAAACAATGAAATGCCTATGCAATAATGACATTCAGGTTGCGTTTTCACTAAAAAATTATTTCCATCAGTGGAGTTTGTTCTTTTATGAGGGTATTTTTTTGTTTGATGGTATATTGTAGTTGTATTTGACTCATTCTTGGACTGTATCTATGACTGTCTATTTTCTTTTCTCATCATGCGTTATTTACTACTCCCAATAACTTGTTTTATGTTATTATAAATCACTTCTTGTCAGGTTGGCTTGCGAATTGAGCATCCACAAGAACTTATTAATAGAATTCAGGTAATATTGGTTTGTTTTGTGGTAAGTTTCTTTTCTTTCACATATATAATGAAGCTTCACTCTCCTTTCATCCGCATAAGAAAGTCTGAACTTTTCTTTGTTGGCCTTGTTTGAAGTTCACACTTGAATTTTTGCTCTTTGTGAAATGGAAGTTATAGGAGATGACATAAACTGAAAGGATGAAACTAGAGTTTTATTGTACAACCCTACCACATGAACTATTGAAGGCAAGTTTCTTCATATGGACTTGCAGAGAGCGACATGAATCTCATTTGCATATGTAGAACTTTTTTTTTTCACTTCATCATAATTCATTATCATAATTATATGTGAAACCCATGGTAGTGCTCTTTATTTGTATCAAACCATCCATTCAAGTCCATTCACAACTTGTTCTTAGATTCACTAGCATATGGTTTCCATTATCTCTGGATTGTACATTCAGTGATTCAAAGCAAGGATTGAAATATCGTATTGTACCAGAGTTTCAAGATTCGCTCGGTACGGTATGGTACTGGATATATATATATATATATATATATATATCAAAGTAAAAAAAAATTCTGCGACGTCTCCGAGTGGGGAGAAGAGAGACGATTTGCAGATATATATATATGTATGTATATATATATATGTATGTATATATATATATATACATACATATATGTATATATATATAATACCGCCCGGTAGCGGGTGGTCCGTATATCGGTTTGCTGACGGTCTGGTACATACCGTCCGGTATGGGCGGTATTATTCGAAATTGAAGACCTTGATTCAAAGCTTATGGTGATAGTTTCTAGTTGTGGGTAAATATGAATATAAAGTTTCATGTTGAGAGTCTGCTGAAATATTTTTAAATAAAACATAAAATTGATACCCCCTATCTTCTTGTTCTCCTGTAATTCCAGTCGTTACCAATAATTTTCCTTTAGCTTATTGCAACAACAATTTCGCTTCTATTAGCCAGCAAAAAGTATTTTAGTTAGTCCTTGTATTTGATCAAATCTGATTCTCGTTTCCAGCTAAGTATTTACTGAATTAGATGCTTATATCTCACTGATCGTACTTGTTGAGAATTGATGTGATGGAATTTGAGTAACTGCTCTGTATTCACAATGTTCTTGTTGAACTACATCATGTGCTTCTTGGTGTTCCTTATATAGATTTTAGTATATAAGGAACACCAAGGTAGTGAACTATGATTTTAGTATTTTGTGACAATGCTATTCTGGGAATTCTGAGTGACTCATAGTTACAAGTTTTAGTACTCTGCATTGGCTACCGAAGTTTGTAATGGGCGTGGAAGAGTACCTGTTGCAGACTACAAGGTAGTGAAGTATGTCAATGGAGATCATGATGGGACTACTGGAATAGGGGATTCATTTCGTAGCTGTTATTCATTCTGCATGTGTCCAGGTGGACAGGTAAATCATGTTTTGTTAAAGTGCCTAGCAATTAAACCATATAACTTATGTTAAAATGCATCCTGACAGGTTGTTCTAACTAGCACAAATCCATTAGAGCTGTGTATCAATGGCATGTCGTTCTCTAAACGTGCATCAAGATGGGCAAATTCGGCACTAGTTGTCACGGTTTCTTCAAATGATTTTGATAGCTTCAGAGCCCATGGGCCTCTTGCTGGTCTTGAGTTTCAGGTAGTTGTCACAATATATTCATTGCACTGGATTTAGACCCCCTTTCTTTAGCAAGTATATAGATTTCTTTTGCAAGAAGATTCATAGTCGTGTTAGTTATACGACAAGATTCATAACTAAAAGATAGCATATTTGTTTTAGTCATAGATCGAGTCACCTGTCTTTGAATAGATTGACTCGTTTAATTCATGCAATTTCAGTTACAGTTTCTTTTAGAAGTACTAAGCATAGTCATCTCTAAATTTTGACAATTGAAATCCCTTGATAGTTATATGAAAATTGTTGGACAAAATATTTAAGGTCAAATATATGGGACAGAGTTTAGCCATGGTTATGGTTGTATATTGTGCTTTCTGGGCATGGTCATCCCATGTACCTTTTTTTTTTGTCAAAATATTTTCCATGTTGGTCCGAATGTTTTGGGTTTTGGTTATATGGTGTGGACTCTTCCACAATGAAAATTGAAATAATTCTGCATCCAGGATCTGTCAAATAGCTGGAGGCAAGCTGATTGATCAAACCCTGATGAATGGGGTGAATGCCTTTGTGCAAAACTTGATCAACCTGGTGGTGATTTCTTTTAGAGTAACCAGAGAATGATATGGTTGTTTTGTCATGATTATAACCTTTGGTAGCGGTAACACAAGTTTTTATTGTAGATTTATGCTTGTAGTTGTAGGTTTCTTTTATCTGTTCTGATTTTGGAGGAACTAATTAATTTTCACAAATATTCTGTAATTTTTATATCAGAGGGAGTTCGAAAGAAGGGCTGCTGTAATGGGGGGAGGGAACTTTGTTGTCCCTGCACAAACTGTCCCTGATTTTCTTGACAATAAACTGTCAGGTAATGACAAAGTTTTACATGCCATTGCTTGCCAACAGAGTGCACCTAATGTTGCTTTGTCTCAGAAACACCTCTACCACCATCAAGCTACCGCCTGGGTGTTCATGCGTCAAAACTTCATGAGCTCTTCCCGTCTCGCATAACAGAAGCTTTACAGCAGTCGATAGTGATGTTTGACAAAGAGGTTTGTTTTTCAATATGTTGAGGAGGTGCTTTTCATGCTCTTATATATATATATATATATATAATTCACACTTCTGACTATGCACCTTGTGATGACTGTCAGCTGCCAGGCTTTATTTCCAAAGATGCTCTTCTTCATGGTGTAGAGGTAAAGTGGTTATCAATATAATTTTAGATCTCATGAATTCTTTATTGATTTTTTTCTTTGTTAATTAAGCAGCAACATCAGCAATAGTATCTTTTTATCTATATTTCAGCATCTCATCTATATCGCCAACCTCACATTTAAAAGTATTTACTATGATTGGCTGGTTCCATGCGTGTGAAAAAACTTGTTCCTTGCATTACTTTCTCCTTTTTCGTTTTCCTGTAACACAAGTCCAATATGCATCGCTAATTGTTTGAGCGGTTTTGTTGGTTTGGTTGCAGACGAGGACGAGCTCGCCGGTTCAGGTATCGCGTCATGCAGACACCTACGAGAGCACGTCACTTGGAAGGTTGTACCCGATTGGTGAAGGCGCAGGGTATGCCGGGGGGATCGTCAGCGCTGCCGTTGATGGTATGTACTGTGGGTTTGCAGTGGCCAAAACGCTTGGCTTGTATCGGGGCGACATAGAATCAGTGCTGGGTAGAGCTCACCAGAACACAGGGTTTGTCAAGTACTGAGTTCTTTTTTTTTGGTGTTGTGTGTGAAGCGGAATGTAAAATTACGATCTGCACTCGTAGGTCGGAGAGTCTCACCTTAGGTGACCGAGTTCTGGAGGCTTTGCCACTGGGCTTACTGGATATCAATGATGAGTTTATTCTGATTGGCACAAAGTTGGTTGAGCCCAGCCGCCTTATTCTCACTTTGGCTGATCACGATCTTTACCTTACGATGCCTCCCAAACAAAAAAGGGGGAAAACGCACGAAATCAGAGTGGCCTGATGAGACTCCCGTGCAGGCGAGCAGAATCCATTGGCGGTAACGGGGGACCCTGCAGTTGTGGGAATTCTCGGCCCACCTCTATCGTGTATCCTAACCAACCAGAATAGGAGAGACAGGGTCGAGCAAGAAGCAATCAATCATTCGTACTCTCAAACTTAAAGGTCATCGTCATAACAGGAAAAGAAAAAAAGAAAAGGGAAAATCTTCTTTCTCTAGAGCTGCCAATTATCTATCTAAAAGAAACTAATATGGGGTTTCTTGGTCACTCGTCCTCCCAATATATGAACCAGACCAAGCAAGCAATCGTAGCCTTAAAACTCAAACCAAGACATTGTCACAACAAAGGACATTGTCACAACTAAAAAATATATCTATAGCTGCTATTTATCCATTCAAAAGAAATCGAGTCACTCTTCGCCCGAGTCATAATAGTCTTAAACTCAAACCAAGAAGATACCAACAATCCATCCATCATAAAGCATCTCCAATTGATCCATTCAAAAGAAACTAACATAGTGTTTCTGAGTCACTCTTCATCCCAATCAAAGAAACATAATAGAACCAGTTGAAGCAAGCAAATCATTTACTCGTACTGAAACCAAGATACCCGAGACCATATCCTAAAAGCATTACCAACACAGACATTGAAACAACCAAAACACTAAAGGAAAAGAAGGATAATCCTCATCCCATTTAATGGAGAATAATATACTGTTCCTTAGACACCCTTCGTCTCAATCAGATAGAACATTATTATAGAACCAGATCAAGCAAGCAAATCATAACATCAAACTCAAACAAATATACGAAGAACATATCCTAAACCATCACCAACATAGACCAATATTATCACAATTTCAAAAACTGAAAAAGAATACAAAAATATCTTTATCCAGATCCTCTATTTATCCATTAAAACAAAAACTAATGTAGCTTTTTCTGAGTCACTTGGAATAAACAAGATGAAGCAAGCAATCGTAGCCTTAAACTTGAACCAAACCTATCCTAATATAGTGTTTCTACCAATAATACTATAATATTCCATTGGCGTCAGCTTTTTATAAATACTTACAAACTTATATATTAATCCGTGATTCTATTTTTCAGCCCTACCTCGATGGTCGGAGGGACTGAGTTTGGTACCCCATTCGACTTCAATTTTTCAGTTCTAACTTGAGAGCAGGAGAGACTGCGTTGGAGACGGGCTGAGGAGGCCTCACCGACAATCCCGCCATCAGAAAGGAATAAAACCGACCAAACAACCAAATCACGATTTGAACACGAAGAGGAAACCCCAAAAGATTCTCTAACCAAGACATCGTCACATCCTAACAAAAGGACATGAAGAGTCTAAAAATCTTTACCTTCGAGCCGCTACTAATCCGTCTAAACGAGACCGATCGAGGGTTTCCGAGCCACAGATTAAGCCGGACCGAACTAGCGACGAACAGACCCTAAAGCTTTTCCATCCACTACAAGAACCAAAACGAAGCATCCACGAATCAAGAACTCGTCGTCGCCGTACAAAGAAGCGACCCCAAGAAGAAAAGAACCCGAAAGACGGATCGAATCGAAACCTGGAGGGGGAGGCGAGAGGAGAAACGAAACCGGTCGGTTTCGCTCCCTCCCTCCGACAGGCGGCAGACCGACCGACCCACCGATGCTTCCGCGGTTCGCACGGCGCCTCGAAGACGAGCATGAGCGGCCGGTTTATTTATAGACGCGCGAACCGGATCCGGGTTTCGCACCCGCAATCGTTGGTTCGGATCGGGTTTGCATTACAAGGCATTACAAGGCATTCTGGATCCTTAAATTTTATTAAAATTTTTTAATAAAATATCTTAGTGATGATCGATAATATAAAAACTAAGGCTTAGTCTTATATTATCAATTAATTAAAAAATTAATAAAATATCTTAGTGACGATCGATAATATAAACCGATTAAGCTTTTGGATTGTATTAGTGATGAACTATGAGAGTGTTTTAACTATGTTATCGATTTTGATGACGGTTTAGTCTCAAGTGAGCTAAGACTACATAAACCAAAGAAATGGAGCTAAATAGGGATAAATTAGCACAACAGTCCCAATCTTATATTTTTTGAAATAGGGATAGATAAAATACTCCATCTAAAAGCTTAAACCATTAGATGCAATATGATTTAATATCCTAAATAGTAAAGGATAATATCATAAGGGTAATTTGAAGAAAAAATTACATGCATGTTGGGAATTTTCATGTGTTACTAAGGATTAGTTAAATATGTATAATAATTATAATTAGATTATGATACTCTGTCAAGTATGCATATACAACAATAATAAAATCATAATATACCAATTATTTGGAATCTCTTGCAAACATCGAACAAGATTAATTCTTGCACGTGGGAAAAAAAATCTCATATGATAGAGTGGTTGGTAGATCCAACAACTGAGCTATCCTTTTATGCTTTTGTTTCTGCAATAAAGTCCTGCATCTACCTGAGAGAGAGAGAGAGAGAGAAAACAACGATTAAGAGAAAATAAGGTTTTTGATATTTCTGTTTGACGTTTGGTGGTCAAATGTTGTCAGTTTTAATCTAAATTTTATGTAAATTATTCTTGCAGTAAGTTCTACAATCCTAACAGTATTAATCTATATTTTACCCTTGTACTTTTTTGTTATACCCATTTTGTGAGACATAGAATTCTTTTTGATGAGATTCATCTTCGGTGAAGATATGTTATTCTTGAGCAAATATCTATGATCTTGATGTTATTGTGATCCTCTAGTTATTCTAGAGAAGACTTATTGTAAACCTGTTATCATTACTATTGATAGTAGAAGTATGAGATGGACTACGGTCCCGTGGTTTTTCCTACATTGGGTTTTCTATGTTAAAAGATTTGGTTTTATTGTGTGGTTGATTTTTTACTCTATTATTTATGCGGTTGATATTTCTATTTGGATATAAGTTGGTATTTTGATGAGGAACTCATTTCGATACACAAAGAGGGAAAAGAATATTCTACTTTAACAGGTTTTTTCCCAACAAGTGGTATCAGAGCAATAGGTTGTTTGGTGCTAGTTTTTCTTGTGTGATTGAAATGGAGCAGTCAAATGGTATGATTAAATTGAACTCATCAAATTATTCTACTTGGAGACGTCTGATGGAAGATTTGCTTTATTGATAAGCCTATCAAGGTTAAAGATAAACCTTTTACTATGGACAATGAAGAATGAGAAGTTCAACATAGAAAAGCTATTGCCTATATTAGAAGATAGATGAATATAAACTTGCATGAGCATATTTCAGATGAAACCAGAGCTGATATTGTTTGACAAAGGTTAGAAAATCTCTTTACGAAAAAGACAGTAGGAAATAGAATTGCTCTCCTCAGAAGACTTATAAATTTGAAATATAAAGATGATGGTAATATTATTGAGCACATAAGCCTATTTTAGAGTCTTGCAAACAAGTTGGTTACTATGAAAATGAATATAGATGATGAGATGCAAGGATTATTACTTCTCAGCTCTTTACCAGAAAGTTGGGAAACATATGTGATGACTATTTACAACTCCATGCCAGAGGGAACTCTAACTATAAATATGGTTAAAGACAGTTTGCTAAATGAAGATGTCATAAGGAAAGAACAGGGTGAATCTTTTTCTGATACATTTGTTACTGAAAAACAAGAAAGACGTGGAAGAAGTTATAGCAGAAATCCATATGGTTATAAAGGAAGATCCAAGTCTAGAAGAGATATCAAATGTTTTCACTGTAATTGGCCAGGTCACATGAAGAAAGAGTGTAGGTTTTGGAAGCGAAAACAGAATAAAATGAAGAAAAATGAGAAAGAGACCGATATAGTTATTGTTGAAAGTAATATCACTATTATTTGTGATGACGGTTGTGTCAGTCTTATAGTTCAGGATGAGTAATTGACTCTGGTGCTTCATTTCATGTTACTTCTCATGGTGATTTTTTTAGATCTTACACTGCTGGTGATTTTGGTAATGTCAGAATGGGAAACAATGATACATCTAAGATGGTGGGTATTAGAGATATTTGCTTGGAGACCAATATTGGGAGCAAATTGATACTCAAAGATATAAGGCATGTTCCAGATATTTGTCTTAACTTGATATCTACAAGTAAACTTAATGATGAGGGCTTTGCACACTATTTTGGTGAATGCAAATGGAAACTCACTAAAGGTTCTCTGATTATAGCAAGAGAAAAGAAACTTAACTCTTTTTATGTCATGGAAGCTAAGCTACACAAAGAAGAGATTAATGCAATTCAAAAAAGTGAAAGTATAGATCTTTGGCATAAGAGACTTGGACATATCAGCGAGAATGGACTTCGAACTCTTGCTAGAAAACAGTTCTTACTAGAGTTGCAAGGTATATCTCTTAAATCTTGTGATCATTGCTTAGCTAGAAAAACACATAGAGTTACATTTCATACATATCCATCATCTAGAAGATCAGATGTTATTGATTTAGTTCATACTGATGTTTGTACTATGCAAAGTAGAACTCTTGGAGGTGCTCTTTATTTTGTTACTTTTATTGATGACTATTCTAGAAAAGTATGGGCTTTTGCTTTGAAATCTAAAGACCAAGTACTCCATGTTTTCAAGAAGTTTTATGTCAGTGTTGAAAAAGAAACTGGCAGAAAACTAAAGTGTATTCGATCAGATAATGGTGACGAGTACAGGGGTCCTTTTGAGAATTATTGCAGGTTCTATGGTATCAGGCTTGAGAAAATAGTTCCTAAAACTCCTCAACAGAACGGTGTGGCAGAAAGGATGAACAGAACCATTGAAGAAAGGATTAGGTGTATGCTTTCTCATGCTAAGTTACCAAAGTTATTTTGGGAGGAGGCTATGAGAACTACAGTTGATCTGAGAAATCTTTCTCCATCAGTTCCTTTGAAAGGTGATGTTCCAGAGAGAGTATGGAGAGGAAA